CCCTCGTCGTCCCCGGGTCTCTGCCAACCAGGTCCCGGGAGGTCTGCTGGCTTTTTCCTGTTTGGGTTTCTGACTCATTGTTCACCTTAGTTCATCTTTTAAGTTAATAAATTTTCGTCCAAGGAATTTCTCCTGCTCTGTGTCCTTCCACGGCCTCGGGTCCTCCCAAGTTTGCGTCTCTATCATCTTGATCCCGTTTGCTCAGTCGGTGGTCATTTCAGCCAGTCCTGGGTCACAGCAGGACCACGTGAGCGCGAGCTACATGGTCACTAGTGACTCAGAAGGGTCACCCAACAAAGGCCATCGGGGCTCCGGGCCTGAGCTCATCCTGACTGTGTCCTCCCCGAGCTGCTCTGCAGGGTTCTCGCCGGGACTCCCCTTCCCGCCCGAGTCCCCCGCAGGCGCCCGACTGCTGGCCGCCGCCTCCCGGGCCGGCAGGAACCCAGCTCGTCGCACTGTGTGAATTCCCCCCAGAGCCCCTGGCGTGTCCCCAGCGGGAATGGGAGACAAATGAGCTCATCCCTGTAGAGCTGTAACCGTTCACAGACGAGAGCCCGTGGTGACCGTTAGTAACTGTTCCCCGTTACCTTACTGCATCGGCACCCACTCACCCCTCAGACTCAGGGCAAACGTCCGTCTGTGGCTGAAGGCCCGGCTGACGGTGTGTCTGTCTGGTCAGTGGAGAGGGAGGGGGAGAGCACTGATTGTACTTGGACTTGGTGGTGTGTGTGTGTGTTTTTTCTTAAATATATTTTTATTGATGTCAGAGAGGAAGGGAGAGGGAGAGAGAGAAGCATCCGTGATGAGAGAGAATCATGGATCGGCTGCCTCCTGCACACCCCACACTGGGGATGGAGCCCACAACCCCGGCCTGTGTCCTGACTGGGAATCAAACCGTGAGCTCCTGGTTCATAGGTCGACGTTCACCACTGAGCCATGCAGGCCGGGCTGTATGTGTTGAAGTCACTGAAATGATGTACACGGGACACGCTCTGCTTGTGAATGCAGGAGAATAAACGCCTCGGTGCCTGAGGGCTGCCGTGGGGGTGGAATAAACGAAAGAGGAGGAGTTTAGGCTGAAGCACTGTGTGCGGAGAAACCGCCCCCTCTCCTCGGTGCAGAGACCACGGCTGCCGGTGTCAGACCAGCCGGAGGGAGTAACCGTGTCCTTTCGTCTCCTTACCAGATGGCTGCCTATTTCGGATTTGCTGTCGCTGCCACGGACATCAACGGGGACGAGTAAGTCGAAAACGACGTTTCCAGAAACTGCTTTCGTACCAGGTTGATGAGCGCTTTCCTAAAACTCAGCATTTCCTCTCTGCCTGGTCCCTCTCCTCTAAGGCTTCTGTGTAGGGAACCAGTTTGAAGCAGCCTTACCAGGGATGCTAGGCGGCCTCTATGTTTTTCATCATCTCTCTTATTTTATATTTATTTTATTATTTAAATCTTTATTGTTGAAAGTATTACCCATGTCCCCGTTTTCCCCCACTGACCTCTCCCAGCTGCCCCCCCCCCCCTGCCCTAGGCCTTCATCCCCCTGTTGTCGGGGTTCATGGGTGATGAGTTCATGGGTGATGAGTTCATGGGTTGATGCCTTCCCCCCTCCCCTGCCAACCCTCAGAATGTCTTTGAATAGCTTTGATCGTATGAAGGAAAGAAGTAATGCGGATTACTCCTGGTTTTATTAGAAGAGTGGGAGGGACCTTCAGGTTTGAAGTGATGGTCCTGAGCCTCCGTGTGGCTGGGAGGTGGTGGGGGAGGGAGTGACGGGGGAGTGATGAGTGATGGGTGGACTGGATCCGCACGAACGGGCCCTGTTCCCTAGTTACGCGGACGTGTTCGTGGGCGCCCCGCTGTTCATGGACCGCGGCTCGGATGGGAAGCTGCAGGAGGTGGGCCAGGTCTCCGTGTCCCTGCAGAGCGCCTCGGGGGACTTCCAGACCACCAGGCTCAACGGCTTCGAGGTCTTCGCGAGGTTCGGCAGCGCCATCGCGCCGTTGGGAGACCTGGACCAGGACGGCTTCAACGGTAAGGCCAGGCCGGCGGCGGGCCTCGTGTGCCGGGTCCAGTTGGAAAAGTTCTGCCCCCGTGACAACCTCCTTCCTGGGGCGGATGCGGGCGAGAGTGACAGACACCCCAGGTTCAACGCGAAGGTGCTCTTTTCCCTCAGAAACCGGAGCAAGCGTTTAAAAAGCGGATTCCCATGCGCTGCTGTTCGTGCAGCCAGAATAGATGGGGCAGTGCCTGTGGGAGAGGGACTGGCCCGGCCTCAGCCCCGGCCCTGGCCTGTGAGCCGGGATTCCGTCTCCTGCTCGCAGTGCCCCCTGCTGTCCACCATGGGGACAGCTCGAACTAAGCGCCTGGGCACCTGGGCAGCTGCCACTCACACTCAAAGCTGTGATTGGCTGTGAATATTTTTAAAGCTGCACCTTGGTTGTGACTGAGGGAGGTTCTCTCTCCCTTCACGAGGGCAAGTAAAAGGAATAAGCTCACTGTTTGGAAGAGTCCCATTTAATCATTTAATTAATCGCTGCAGGTATTTCTAAAAAAATTTAAGGTGGCTTTTATGATAGGGTGAAATATAGATTCACATGACCAAGATTTTAAAAAAAAAGAATACTATTGAAGCCCTTTCTAAGAGATCGCAGGCTGCATAGTTGAACTGTTAGTGTGTGTATCAGCAACAAGTAGGGATGTGCCCCTTAGTATTTAAAGAAAGTCATACATGAAGAAGGAAACTCCACATCCAGGGCCCAGGCAGCGGGTGGGGAGGGCGTGGCTAGGGCGGCAGAGGGAGAGGGAGTGGGCGCGTTTGTAAAAGATTTCAGTTAGAAAGGGTCATACTGACCACTGGCTGGGGTTTGCTTTAGTTTTTTTTTTTTTTTTAAGAATTCCAAACGTTTATTGGTTTATGTTAGTTCAGTATAAGCTGAGCAAGACCAAGAAGGATTTCTGATTTCCAAGTTTCCCAGCCAGATTGACTTTTGCTTTGGGGAAAAAAAACACAAAAAACCCAAGCCACGCGCAGCTGCTGGCTGGATGTTGGAGCCAGGACGGCCTGGGAGGGGTCTGACCCCACCCCCGTCCAGGACGGCCCAGGAGGGGTCTGACCCCCACCCCTGTCCAGGACGGCCCGGGAGGGTCTGACCCCCACCCCCGTCCAGGACAGCCCGGGAGGGGTCTGACCCCCACCCCCCGTCCACTGGAGGGCGAGGAGCTTGAGGCCCCGAGAGGTTAACTGACTTGTCCGGGGTCAGACCCAGAGTGTCTGCCTCCACTTTAGCGTCACTTCCACCCGGTGCTGCCGAGTCCCCTCGGGTTCGAGGCTGCCTTTGAACGAGACGCCTAAGCCCTGCTTCTCTCCATTCCGCCCCTCCCTCCTCCTTCCTCCCCCTCCTCCTTCCTCCCCCTCCTCCTCTCCCTCTCCCATGTCTCTCCCTCCCTCTCTCACGTCTCCCTCTCCGCCCCCCTTCCTTTCCCCCCAGATATCGCCATCGCCGCTCCCTATGGGGGTGAAGACAGGAAGGGGATCGTTTACATTTTCAACGGCAGATCCACGGGCTTGAACGCGGCGCCCGTCGCAGGCCTGGAGGGGAGGTGGGCCGCGCAGAGCATGCCGCCCAGCTTCGGCTACGCCATGAAGGGAGCCACGGACATCGACCGCAACGGGTACCCAGGTGCGGCCGCTCTGAGCGCGCAGTGCTCGGCCCGGAGCAAACGGGCCTGTGCTGGGTGATGCTGTGCTGAGTAGATGCCGTGCTGGGTGGTGCTGTGCTGAGTGGTGCTGTGCTGAGTGGTGCTGTGCTGAGTGGTGCTGTGCTGGGTGGTGCTGTGTTGAGTGGTGCTGTGCTGGGTGGTGCTGTGTTGAGTGGTGCTGTGCTGGGTGGTGCTGTGCTGAGTGGTGCTGTGCTGAGTGGTGCTGTGCTGGGTGGTGCTGTGTTGAGTGGATGCTGTGCTGGGTGGTGCTGTGCTGAGTGGATGCTGTGCTGAGTGGTGCTGTGCTGGGTGGTGCTGTGCTGAGTGGATGCTGTGCTGAGTGGTGCTGTGCTGAGTGGTGCTGTGCTGAGTGGATGCTGTGCTGAGTGGTGCTGTGCTGGGTGGTGCTGTGTTGAGTCCAGGGGGCATCGCAGGAAAAGCAGCTCTATTTCCCGGGCGTTTCCAGCAAAACCACGGGCTCTGAGCTTCCTGTGTTGAAATCTGTAAGGAAATGTCAGGGAAGTCACACACAGTGAAATAAATGCTTCTTTTGAGTTTTTGAATGTTAGCCATCCTTTTTTATTTATAATATATTTTTATTGATTTCAGAGAGGAAGGGAGAGGGAGAGAGAGAAACATCAATGATGAGAGAGAATCATGGATAGGCTGCCTCCTGCACACCCCACGCTGGGGATTGAGCCGCAACCTGGGCCTGTGCCCTGACCGGAAATCGAACCCAGGACCCTTCAGTCCACAGGCTGACACTCTATTCATTGAGCCACACCGCCAGGGCCTTTTTTCATTTTCAATGATCTAACATTTTTGTGGATTTGACTAATCATTGTGGTTTTTAGCAAATACGTTATTTCATGTAATTCTCTGGAGAATGCTCACTATCTCAGCTCATCACCATCTTCTGGATGAGAAGAGAGACTCAGAAAGGGCGTTGGCCCAACCTGCCCACTGGTGTGAGCCATTAGAGAAAGTGAGATTTTTATTTTCTGGCTCATACATACTTTGGAGTTACTGCAATAGACCTGGATTATAATGGGTCTATTCTTTAAACGAAATATAGTGCAGAAGACGTAACTGCCTTTGCTGTTGGGACAGTTACTGTGAGCTCAGTGGGCGAGTCTGTTGAAGCGCTCTTAGAAATACGACAGGAAGTTGATTCTCTCTCTGTGTTCAAGGATTTTCTGGTTATAAGTGCAATATATTTATAGAAATCTTAGCAAATACAGCAGAACGTATTTTGCAATCTTTTTTCCAAAGCATTCATACACATTTATGAACAAAATAGAATTGTGCTTTATGCACTATTAATAGCATATTTTATTCACTGAAAGTATCAGAAATGTTTTCCCATGTTACTAATTTTTCTTCAAAAGCATGAATTTTATATTTTTCATTTTATCAAATGACTATATCGTATCGTATTTACCTTATTTTGGGGCATTTATATTATATATAATTCTGGTTTGTATACACCTTATTTTTAAAAACTTTTTATTTCTTTATTATTAGACAAAATTTTAAAATTATTTTGTCAAAGATAAGCACGGTGTTTTTTTTAAGTTTGTTGATTCGCTTGTCAAGCTACAGTCCCACTCCCTCTAAACGAAGGTTTTGCCACCTTTTAAACCACTTACCGCAGCGAGTGAGGGTCCTTCTCTCACATTTGTTCCATGTTGAGTGTCATCTTTGTTCCCTGTAGAGTAACTTTATGTGGCAGGTGGAAATGTCCTTTTGTCTTAATTTTCAGTTTTTGGTTATTAGTGAGAGTAAGCGTTTTGTTTACTTGCATCTATTTACTTCTGTGAATTTCTTTTTACATCTCTTTTTCCCCTCTGTTTTATTGGGATGTTTTTCTTTCATTAATTCTTTTTTTTACCTTGTGGCAGGTGCCTTAAAATAGCATGTTTTAGGCTATTAACTCAACTAAGACAGAAATAGGTTTACAGCTGTTCGTGTGGAAAATAATAACAATAATAAATAATAGAACGAGAATAAACTCTTGCTTCCTATGCACGTAGCTGTAAACCTACTTTTCCCTGCCCCCGTATACTTCTTAGCTTGTCACAGTTGCTTTTTGGGGGCATAGAGAAGTTCTTAATTTTTTTGTAGTACAATCTGCCTGTTTTTATGGTTGTTGTTTTTTTTCCACGTACTTTGTTTTGCCTGGAAAGGGCTTCCTCAAATCCAGCTTGTTTATACTGTGAGATGGAGCTGTGAGAGCATTTTTTTCCCCTAATTGTGAGTCCTTTTTACCTCTCACGTATGAAGACGAATGCCTTCTGTCTGTGTTGATGTGAGTGCTGTCTGCTATCAGGTCTAAGTATTCTAAACGTATGCGATGTGCTTTTTGGTTTTGGTTAAAAAAATTAAAAGAAAATGAAGAAATACCTGTACAGCGGCATCCACAGGCACCACAGGGCTTCCCTCGTGGTCCATGTTTTGGGGCTCTGCTCCCCACTTGGCTGGTTTTACTAAGTGTCCACGGGAAGACCGTCCGCTTGAATGGAAGACTCGTTTTATGAGGAGCGTTTGCCATCGGCAGTAGCTCATTTCGAATTTTCCTATCCTAACCTTCTAAAGGTCATCTTCCGCCTCCTACTGAAGGTAGATTTGAGACTGTGTTTAAATCCTAATCGTGTGTATTGAAAGCTGTATGGAATGGTATGTGAATTTTAAAAAATCATTATTATTAACATTTTTTTCTGCTCTCTTTTAAGACTTGATTGTGGGAGCTTTTGGTGTGGACAGAGCTGTGTTATACAGGTGAGCGTCTTCCCATCGCCGCTTCTGTTCTGAATTAATCGAACGTTTTGTAGTTAAGTCCCAGTGCTTTGATTTCAGCTTAGTTTTCTCGAAGTGACGGTACAATCTGTTCTTTCTCTTTAAGATTTACTGTAGGCGAGCTGTATCTATAGAAGGAGCGATCCCCATGTGGAGAAAGCGTAGACGTTTATAATTTCAGAAAGCATGTAGGGTTTCCCTCTTCGTTCTTGCAATCATGTCTAGAGGGAGTCTCCTACCTTTTCAATGTCCCCCCAAATTCTAGGAGTTGACGTTTTCCGCTGAGAGGCGAGAAACTAACTTGTGTTTGTGCGTAACATTCTGACCACAAAGGCCGTGTGCAGTGACTCCGGGGACCACGGTTGCTCAGAGCAGCATATACGTCCAGGCCTGTGTCTCCCAGCTTCATGCACGGTCCCACTTACTCTGTGCCCATCAGTCCCTCCTGCCCGAGGGCCTAGGCCATCCTCCCGCCTCCCAGGGAGATGAAGGTGTTCACCTTCCACGGGCCGTGTGGGCGGGGAGGACGCTGACCCAGCAGCTGATGGGGCTGTGGCTGGAGGAACGCGACTGGAGCTCGGGCACCGTGTCCTCGCACAGACGTGTGCCCTCGCACAGACGCGTGTCCTCGGCTGGGGATTGGGACGGCGCAGGCTGGAGCGGCTGCATTTCTGGACAGAATTTAAATCGGTGCCTCTTTCAGTTTTTATTTTATTTATTATAAGTTTTTAAAAATATATTTTTTATTGATTTCAGAGAGGGAGAGAGAGATGGAAACATCAATGATGAGAGAGAATCATGGATCGGCTGCCTCCTGCACGTCCCCTACAGTAGATGAGTCCTGTGCCCCGACCCGGAGTCAAACCGTGACCTCCTGGTCCATAGGTTGTTGCTCAACCCCTGAGCCACGCCGGCCGGGCTCCGTCTCAGTTTTTAAAATGGCTGTTAATGAAGTAATACGTGCAGGTGGTAAACATTCAAATAATATAAAAAGGGCATACAATAAAGAAGTCTCTTCTCAGACTAGTTATTCGTTTACTAGTGTATACAATCAGAAACACACTAGGCATTCAATGCTTGTGTGTGTGTGTGTGTGTGTGTGTGTGTGTGCATGCTTTGCACACTGTGGGTTTCTCCCATGTTGCACTGACATTACCTGTGGCGTGTGTCTTACTAGTAGATCCTCCGTAACAGCACGGATGGTGCCCGGCCCTCATTGTTCCGCCGTGAGCGTTGCGTTAGGTCCATAGCGCACGGCTGGCTTCGCTGTTCTGCTTTCGTGGGCAGAGTTCAGAGAGTTCGGCCAGTGTCCCGCTAGCCTGGGCCCGAGGGATTTGCCGGTCACGGGACTTCCTGCTGGAATCAGGGCAGCCCTGGGCGACGGGGACAGTGTCATTCTGAGGTTTAGTTCTTGTCTCTTCACTGCCCTGTGAGTGTGAACCCAAAATGCTCAGTCAGTCCGACATTGTAAACAGCTTCTTCATTTTCCTCACTTCCCGCCTCTCTCTCTCTCTCTCTCCCACTAGAGCCAGACCGGTCATCACGGTCAATGCTGGCCTCGAAGTCTACCCGAGCATTTTAAACCAAGACAACAAGACCTGCTCGCTGCCTGGGACAGATCTTAAAGTTTCCTGGTAAGAGTATTAGCTAATGTTGTGATTATTATAGTTATTATTCTGATGAGTGGTTCAGTTATTTTATTTTTATAAAATATATTTTATTGATTGTTTACAGAGAGGAAGGGAGAGGGATAGAGAGTTAGAAACATCGATCAGCTGCCTCCTGCACACCCCGTACCGGGGATGTGCCCGCAACCCAGGTACATGCCCTTGACTGGAATCGAACCTGGGACCCTTCAGTCCGCAGGCCGATGCTCTATCCACTGAGCCAAACCGGTCAGGGCAAGTGGCTCAGTTATTATAAAAACAATCGAAAATGAAGGTAGGGGGTGAAATAGTGCGAAAGCAGATTTCGTTTGTCTACTCTTATCATGTCATAGATTGGATTATAGAAATATTGTTCTAGAAAGATATGCAGAAGCTCTAGAAGTATGTTAAAAACTAGTGGAAAGTTTATGTGTGTGTGTGTGTGTGTGTGTGTGTGTGTGTATTTGATTTTAGAGAGAGGAAGGAAGAGGGAGAGATACAAACATCAATGATGAGAGAGAATCATGGATCGGCTGCCTCCTGCACGCCCCCCACTGGGGATCGAGCCTGCAACCCGGGCCTGTGCCCTGACCGGGAATCAAACTGTGACCTCCTGGTTCATAGGTCAACGCTCAACCACGGAGCCACGCCGGCCTGGCCAAAAACTAGTGTAGGTTTTTTAAGTGACACATGCTCAATGAATATATTAAAAAAGAAGGAAAAGATAATAAGATTTCAGAATTCATTCATACTTAATTTTAAAAAAGACCCATGAACGTTTTAATTTTTAAAAGGTATGATCTTTTTCAGATTTAATACCTGTGAGTAGCTGTATGAACAAATATTATTTTGCTCTAATATACCAGTCTTCTATTGTTCCTTTACTAGTTTTTAAATAAAAAAATATTTCTTTAAAATTTAACTGAATTCTTCTATAGTTTGCAGTTTCTCAAGTCTCCATATTTTTATGCTACTCTTCCCTATAGCGCATGATTTTGCATATTTTCATTCTACCTGTATTTGTAATTTTCTGAAGGTTTTTTTCTTTAAACTGACATATTTTGTCTAAAACATTTTAAGATACAATGGAGAAACCAGTATCTTTCCCCTACACGTCAGAACAAGTATGACTTAGTCATGACAGGCCTGGGCCCACATGCTGTGAAGTCACCCCCAGGGCCCCACTTGGGGGAACACCCCGGTTCCGGGCACAGGGGCCAGAGCACTCAGAGCTGGAGGGGTGACGGGAGCTGGGACGACTTTCTTTCCCAAGAGCCGGGGAGAGCGATCGCGGGCTCGCTAGCGAGGGGGAGCCCCGTCGGGAGCTGGCTCGTCAGGGAGCGTCGGTGGGACCTCGATGACACGGCGTCACTTCACGTCTGGATTCCCTCCCTCGTCTCCACGTGTCCCCGGAGCTAGGGCCTCGGGGGGAAGCGGGGAATTCTTTCCTTTCTTCCTCATCGGGACGAGCGAGGAAGGGAGCCTGGGCTGGGGAGGCTGAGGGAGGTAGTTTGTCTCGTTTCATTGTTAAATACGAGATGAAGACAGACAGACAGGAAGCTTTGTCGGGTGGCTCCCCGCGGGGCGTGAGGCATGAGGTGTGAGGACACGGGAGCGCGGCCGGCCTGCGTGACGGATACGTGTGTTCTTGTTTCCCCGCAGCTTCAACGTCAGGTTCTGCCTGCGGGCGGACGGCAAAGGCGCGCTTCCCGCCAAACTGAGTAAGTGCCCGTGTCCGTGTGCGTGTCCGTGTGCGTGTCCGTGGGAATCACGCGAGTTACCGACGCTGCACACGCAGCTCACCCTGAGGGGGCGGGAGTCACTCGGGCAGTGGTTACTTATTGGAAGGTTTAGTCCACAATCACTGTGTGGAAGCTCCTACCCAGCGGGGAAATGACACACCTGTTCGTTGACGCGGCGAAGAGTCGCCCCTGAACGTGCCCGCGACCCTCACCCGGCCCAGCACGTCCCTGTGCGCAGGAACGAGCCGATGGCCCGTAAGCCAGGGGTCCCGATGGCCCGTAAGCCAGGGGTCTCGGTGGCCCGTTCGTTGACGCGGCGAAGAGTCGCCCCTGAACGTGCCCACGACCCTCACCCGGCCCAGCGCGTCCCTGTGCGAGGGAACGAGCCGATGGCCCGTAAGCCGGGGGTCCCGATGGTCTGTAAGCCGGGGGTCCCGATGGCCCGTAAGCCGGGGGTCCCGATGGCCCGTAAGCCGGGGGTCCCGATGGTCTGTAAGCCAGGGGTCCCGATGGCCCGTAAGCCAGGGGTCGTGATCGCCCGTAAGCCGGGGGTCTCTGGGACCTCCGTCCGTAGGCCTCGGGGAGCCCCCGCTGGCTCTGGCCTCAGGTGGTTTAGAAAGAGCAGGAGACATGGTCTGGGCCACTCCTGTAACCACACAGCCAGCTCCCGGGTGGCTCTTCCCTCCAAAAACGCGGTTCTGCGTCCTGAGAGCGGGTGGAGCGTTAAGTCCTGTGGCCACGATCTGCCGCATGACAGGGACGTGCTGGGAGGCACGACAGCGGGCGGAGGCTGCACCCGTGTGATTGTGTGTGCAGTGGTGTGTGTGCTGGTGCGTGTGGTGGTGCGTGTGGTGGCGTGTGAGCGCGCGGAGGGCAGTGGGGTGGATGGACAGAACTGGAAGCAGAGTACCCCTGGGCTTTCACCCAAATGGGACCTGAAGTTCAACCTTCAGAGAAACTGGAGACGCTGTGGTTAGAGGCCTGCACCCGCCCCTCCTGGGAAGACGCTCCTGAGAGCCCGGACCTTAGCAGCACCGGCCCTGACGCCGGCTTCCCGCCAGCGGCCGCGCAGTCGCTCTAAGGGGGTGCCTGACCGACAGCTGGGTGGCCCGTGCTTCCCGACCCCACACGCCCTCTCACGGGGAGCCTGTCGTCCGAGCTCCCACCAGGGAGTTGATAGTTTGCACTAAACTTTTGTCCGTAAACGTGTCCCCTGTGAAGTCCACACAAACGTTTAGTGCAAACTATCAACTCTCCGAGCAGAACACGGACGACATGTTCCCGTGAGAGGGCGTGTGGGGTCGGGAAGCTCATGGCCACACGCACAGGTTCAGGTCAAGCTTCGCCTTAGACCAGCGGTTCTCAACCTGTGGGTCGCGACCCCTTTGGCGGTCGAACGAACCATTCACAGGGGTCGCCTAAGACCATCCTGCAGATCAGATATTTACATTATGATTCATAACAGTAGCAACGTGACAGTTATGAAGTAGCAACGAAAATAATTGTATGGTTGGGTCACAACATGAGGAATATATTTAAAGGGCCAGGAGGTTGAGAACCACTGCCTTAGAGCAGTGGTTCTCAACCTTCCTAATGTCGCGACCCTTTAATACAGTTCCTCGTGTTGTGGTGACCCCCAACCATAAAGTTATTTTTGTTGCTACTTCATAACTATAATTTTGCTACTGTTATGAATCGTCATGTAAATAGCTGATATGCAGGATGTATTTTCATTGTTACAAATTGAACATAATGAAAGCATAGTGATTCATCACAAAACAATATGTAATTATATATGTGTTTTCCGATGGTCTTAGGCGACCCCTGTGAAAGGGTCGTTTGACCCCCAGGTTGAGAACCGCTGGCCTAGAGGAAAGGGTGCCTCTGAGTCGCCCTCAGCAGGAGGCCTGCCCCCTGCACTCGGAGCGTCATTTGCGTGTATTTACACGGGGTCCCCTCAGGCTGGTCACTCTAACGCAGAAGGGAGGGGTCCCTCCACCTGTTTTACTGCCTCAGGATCTGGTGCCTGAATCACTGACCTTCCCTGGGGAGGAGCTGGGTGAATTCTGCCGTTAATTGTGACACATTTATCCCGAACGAATCGGTGGTGGTCTCCCTGGGAGCACAGCGTCCCGAGGGCGTTGGGAGCGGGTGTCTGTGCGTGACCCAGGGATGCGGGCGGGCGGCGTCCGGGGGCCGCGTTGGTCATAAACCTTTGGTTTGTGTAGACTTTCAGGTGGAGCTTCTTTTGGATAAACTCAAGCAAAAGGGAGCCATTCGCCGAGCGCTGTTTCTCCACAACAGGTCCCCGGGCCACCCCAAGAACATGACCGTCTCCCGGGGGGGCCGCATGCAGTGCGAGGAGCTGGTGGCGTACCTGCGGGTGAGGCCCTTCTCCCTCCACGTCTGCTCTTCTCTCCTGTTGCTTTTCTCCTCATCCGGGCGCTTTTCATGTTCTGTACATGTTCGTGCATTAAGTCCACAGGAAATGCACGTGAGGAAGTGCGGCTCTTTATTTTTTTTATTATTATTTTTAAATATATTTTATTGATTTTTTACAGAGAGGAAGGGAGAGGGATAGAGAGTTAGAAACATCGATGAGAGAGAAACATCCATCAGCTGCCTCCTGCACACCCCCTACTGGGGATGTGCCCGCAACCAAGGTACATGCCCTTGACCGGAATCGAACCTGGGACCCTTCAGTCCGCAGGCCGACGCTCTATCCACTGAGCCAAACCGGTCAGGGCAAGTGTGGCTCTTTAAATGTCCGGCCCGAGTAGCGGCCTCCTCCTCCTGGTGGGTCACGTACCCCCAAGGGCCCCCCCAGGATACAGTCTGTGGGACACAGCGCCCGCCCTCCTGAGAGGGCGTGTGTGGCGTTACAGGCCTCCCTCGAGAAACAAGAGAACTTACGTAAACTCAAAGACACTAGAACACGAACAGCAATCGAAGCCCAAGTGCGTAGGAGAAAGGAAATAGTAACGATCAGAACAGAAATGAACGAAACAGAATCTAAAATACAAGTCCAGGTCCAGCCAGTGTGGCTCAGTGGTCGAGCGTCCGCCCGTGCACAAGAGGGGCTGGTTCGGTTCCCGACCAGGGTACCTGCCAGGCTGTGGGCACGATCCCCAGTGGGGGGCGTGCGGGAGGCAGTCAGTCAGTGATTCTCATCGTGGATGTCGTATCTCTCTCCCTCTCCCTCTCTTTCTAAAATAAAAATTAAATTTAGAATCCCTAGCTGGTTTAGCTCAGTGAATAGAATGTCCACAGACTAAAGGGTTCTAGGTTCGATTCCGGCCAAGGGCACATGCCCTGGTTGCAGACTTGATCCCCCCACCCCTAGTAGGGGGCGTGCAGGAGGCAGCCAATCAATGGTTCTCTCTCATCATTGATGTTTCTATCTCTCTATCTCTCTCCCTTCTTCTCTGAAATCAATTTAAAAAATATAATAATAAAATAAATTTAGAAGCCCTAAAGGTTCCACCAAAAACTCCCAGAACTGACAAATGAATTCAGTTAAAGCAGCAGGATGCAGAACAAGCATCCAGAAACCAGCTGCATTATTTGACGTTAATAATAGACTCTCAGAAAGGGAAACTAAGAGAACGATCTCATTTACAATCGCACCAAGAAAACCACAGCGACCTTGGAGTAAACTTAACCAAGGATGTGGAAACCTGTATCAGAAAACGATAAGACACGAAAGGAAGAAAGTGGAGAAGATGCAGATACTGGAAGCATGTGCTGTGTCCACGAGGACTGGGCCAGTGGGGCCATGGATAGGGCGTCTGGCTACGGATCCGAAGATTCCAACCAGGGCATTGAACGAAGGAAGCAAATCAGAGAATATGTTTGATCTGATTCTTAAATAGACAGGAAAAGCTAACCCAGGAACGCGCTGTTTGGAGACGGTACACGGTTATAAACTGCTGCCGGCCAGCGCAGGGATGGGGATTGGGCTCAGGACGGCGGTCGCTCGGAAGGAAGGCAGAGGCGTGAGGCGCTCCAGAGAGGACCACGTGGGTAGCTGAAGCGATGGCAGTAACGTTCCAGTTATAATATGGGGCGTGTATTTTTTAAAATATGTTTTTATTAGTATTTATTTTAGAGGAAGGGAGAGGGGGAGAGAGAGGAACATCCATGAGAGAGACATCACTGACGGCTGCCTCCTGCACGCCCCACACTGGGGATCGAGCCTGCAGCCTGGGCGTGTGCCCTGACCGGGAATCAGACCAGTGACTTCTTGGCTTTAGGTCGATGCTCAACCACTGAGCTGCACAGGCCGGGGTGGGCGTGTAATTGAGTGCTCATTTTATTAATACCCTTCATATATTTTTGTGTGAATCAAATAATGACATTATGATGCATAAACTGATTGTGTTCTCAGAGAATAATAACCTTTTATAAGTTTACATTCACGGAGGGTTTGGTAGAGTTGGACGGAGAGATGCGTCACACAGCTGGCTTTGTGTTCTGCGCTTGGGTTTCTCCGGTAGCTCGATGTCCTCATTAACGCGCAGCTTCTCCGTTTCTAGGATGAGTCTGAGTTTAGAGACAAGCTCACTCCCATCACCATTTTCATGGAGTATCGGCTGGACTACAGGACGGCGGCCGACGCCACGGGCCTGCGGCCCATCCTCAACCAGTTCACGCCCGCCAACCTCAGTCGGCAGGTACGCGCCTCCTCGCTTCTCCCGAGTCTCAGCCTTTCATTTCGTCACGGTCTTGCCGTTCCTGTTTTAAATTACCACGAGGGGTTGCTCTTGTAACCTTGGGATTTTAGTCAAAGAAATAAAAGGGGGAGGACTCAAGTTAGAGACAATGAAAGCCACTTGGAACTCGGTGATACGGAGGGAACGTTGGGGTCACATAGGAAGTTAAATAATTCAAGGAAAACAACAAAACGCCGATTTACACAGTATTTTAATATTTTGCTGAACAAGTTTAATATCTGTTTTATCTTTGATTTAATTTGAAAACACACACACACACACACACACACACACACACACACTGAGTGGCCAGATTATTATGACCACCCCATCAGTACTTCGTTGGGCCACATTTTGCCTTCGATACTGCGGCGATTCTTCTTGGCATTGACTCCACGAGATGTTGAAAGGTGATGCGAGGAATCTGGCACCATGCCTGATGAATAGCACTGTCCAGTTCTGTGAGGTTTGATGGTTGTGGAACCAGCTGCCTGATGGCTCTTTTAACTTCGTCCCACAAATGCTCAACTGGATTGAGATCTGGTGATTGTGGGGCCACCTAAGCAAGGTAAAGTCTCCCTCATGTTCTTGAAACCACTCCTGAACAATACGAGCACCGTGGCATGGCGCATTGTCTTTTTGGAAGAAGCCATCTCCATTGGGATATACCATCAACATGATAGGATGAACTTGATTAGCAACGATACTTAGGTATCGTATTGTGCAGGAGTAGCCCAACGAAGTACTGATGGGGTGGTCATAATAATCAGGCCACTCAGTGTATATGTATAGTACTTTCTTTTCATAAAACCAAATAAAGCAATAAAATGTCATACAGGCTGTATTACAATATTCTTAGAAAATGTTATGTAAAACCCATGTATTCAGATATTATGATTGCATTTCCTATTTCTTCCTCTTTTTTATTACATGTTCGTATTTTTAGGTTAAAATTTCTTCTTTTATAGGATTCTTTATCCTGCATTTTGGTTGTTATTTCTTCTTTGTCTAATACTCTAACATCTCAAATACTCTTTTTATAAAAATTATGTTTTTATTGATTTCAGAGAGAAAGGGAGATGGAGAAAGAGATAGAAACATCAGTGATGAGAGAGAATCATGGATCGGCTGCCTCCTGCACGCCCCCCACTGGGGATCGAGCCCATAACCTGGGCATGTGCCCTGACCAGGAATCGAACAGTGACCTCCTGGTTCGTGGGTCAACGCTCAACCACTGAGCCACGCTGGCCGGGCTCAAATACTCCTTTGTGTGTGGTTTGATAAAACTATACATGGTAGACGTGTAAGGCAAATTAAAATATATTCTAATGTACTTTTGTATTAAAATCCAAGTCTTCGTGATTTGTATATTTTAACAATGTAGTTTACATTTTACTTTGCATGTGGATACTTAGAATATGTCTTTGTCTAGGATGGTTTCTGCCCTCTTTCTCCACGTGGCTGCACACGCTGGACTCCTGGTGTCCAGTGGCTGTTCCCCCGTGGCGGCTCCCTACGTGGCTGTCCCCTGTGCTGGTCCCGTGGCTGATTCCGTGGCTGGTTCCGTGGTTTGCTCTCTGAACTGCCACTCTGTCTCCTCCTCCCTTACACCCCGCAGCCGCGTTTCCATGGCGTTGACAGAACCATGGTCTGGAATGAGAAACCCTAGAAGGAGTTTATTTTGCCCAAATCACACACCTTAGCTAGCAGCCGCTGAGCCCTCATTTATTTTTTTCAATTTTATTGATGTCAGAGAGGAAAGGAGAGGGAGGCAGTTAGAAACATAAATGATGACCGGCTGCCTCCTGCATGCCCCCCACTGGGGATGGAGCCTGCAACCCGGGCCTGTGCCCTGATGGGAATCAAGCTGTGACCCCCTGGCCGGTAGTTTGATGCTCAATCACCGAGCCACGCCGGCCGGGCGGAACCCTCGTTTCTTGACTGTCACTTTCTCTTCTATGTGACACTTCATTCCACAATCTTAGCAGCTCAACTGGAGATGGGACGAAAGCTCCCACCTGGTCGTCTGATGTCCTGAGTCCTTTCCTTCCTGCCATTCCTGCCCGTTCACTGACCCGTGTGGAAGGAAGTAGCCACGACCCCTGTTAGCATGCGAAGTGGACGAATCCATGTGCCTGTATATATGTGTGCACATGCGTGTCCACGCGCTCCACGTGTAGTAGGACATGCCCTGCAGTGTGAGCCGCACCGCTCTCTCCCGCCAGGAGACGTAACCGCTCCTCTCTCCTAGGCCCACATCCTCCTGGACTGCGGCGAAGACAATGTCTGCAAACCCAAGCTGGAGGTGTCCGTGGACAGGTGAGGCCTGCCCGCCCCGTGACACCGCGCACAGGACGGGCACGCGGGGGAGCCCAGCTGCTCCTCCCAGGGACGGTGTATCTGAACCAGAACTCGTTACATCCGAGGGGGATGCATGACTGTCTGTGACGGTCAGGCTGTCGGTCTGAGCTTCAGAGCAGCAGGCGCTGAGTTCTCCTCGCTGTGTGGGCGACAGGCTGGCCCCGTCCCCCGCTGGGTCCTGTGAGAGGCCACCGTGTCCCCTCACGGCCGCCTTCATCATCGGCCTCCTCCCGCCTGAAGGAATCCCCTCATATGTGCACGAGACATAAATCACGAAGGGTTTTTGTGAGAATCGTGACAAATGAGCAATTCCGTTTTCTCCTAAAATCAGAGACTTAGTCCGGACGCACAGGGAGACGTAAAGTGACGTCCGGTGATGGATTGCACGGCGGGGATATGCTGGCGGCATCGCCTTGTTCGCTCCGACGAGCGTGGGCTCTGCGCCCGCGTGCAGGTCCCCGTTTCCTGTTGAGCTGGGGGTCGTGTAAACGCCCCGAGACGCGGGGAGGGTGTCGGTGCCGCCGTCTGCGTGTCTGTCTGTCTCCCGTCCCGTGGACGGCCCTGCTGCCCCACGCGGCCCGTCTCACGGTCTGGGCCTGTGTCACCCAGCAGAGACCAGAAGAAGATCTACGTCGGGGACGACAACCCCCTGACCTTGATGGTGACGGCGCAGAACCAGGGCGAAGGCGCCTACGAGGCGGAGCTCACCGTGGCCCTCCCCCCGCAGGCCGACTTCATCGGCGTCGTCCGCAACAGCGAGGTAGGCGCGGCCTCAGTAACCCAGGGCGCCCCAGTCTCATGCCGCCCGCCCGCCCGGGAGCTCCCCGCGGGGTGTGTGCCAGCCCCCCCCCCCCCAATCCCCCGAGGCTGCACGGCCAGCCAGCCTGCCTGTCCCCGTGCCCTGGCCAGCTGCTGCCTCATCGGGCTCAGGTCACGGTGAGCATGGCCTCTGAGGGCCCGGAACCCGTCGGGCAGACGCTGCCTCGGCCTGGCCCTCGGACCCTGGCCCTCAGCTGCTGGGGTTCCGTGTCTGCGTCCAGGACCTTCCAGAAGGGCCTCCACGCGCATACGTGGCAGCTGTGCACGCCTGGCTTCTGCCCGCCCCGCCCCCGTTTGCTCAGGGGGTGTATTGCCTTGTCCAGCAAGAACGTAAACATCCAACTGCATGACACTGTCTAGGAACGTTTTACTCTCATGCCTTCTGCTTTCTTTCTTTTTTTGTCATTAATTTATTTTCCTTATAACCCTTTCTCCGTCTCTCCAAGGCCCTGGCGAGACTTTCCTGTGCGTTTAAGACAGAAAACCAGACCCGCCAGGTGGTGTGTGACCTGGGGAACCCCATGAAGGCTGGGACGCAGGTGAGACGCTCTGATCACGTGGGCGTGTTTATCTGCGAAGGAAAGTACCACATTCTTTCCCCTGTGGGTTTGTCTGCAGTAAATTTCTTAAGTAAACACTTCAAAAGGGTGCCTTTCAGTGGGTTTGACTTAGAGGCCAGTGATGGGCAGGTGCTCGAACCACCGAGCCGCCGGCCAGGGCTCAGGTATATGTAACACAATGTCTCGCTAACAAGTGGAACGTACTTTTGTTTTTTTTCGTATTTCTCAGTTTCTCTAGCTTCTCCACTCACAGCTCATTCAGTCCAGACGAGGCCAGGTCATTCCGGTGGCCAGCTCCGGGCTTTGGGAGTGGGGGGCAGTTTGAAGAAATGCCTGTTTATGTGTCATTTACATGAACCCACAGCCGGCGGGCGTCCTCTCCTCCTGTAACGTTCCCGCCTGCGGGAGCCGGGTGCTTGGTGCGGAGCGCTGTGGGCGGCGGGGAGCCGGGGCCGGCCCTGCCCCTGTCTCCTGAGTCCACTCCTCCCTGCCCCTTAACACACGCTCAGGGTTCGCTTCCTGCAGACACAGCACTGTGGTCGTTGTTTCCTTCCATTGAACGAACAAACATTCACTTTTTCATTTTTTTGGAAGACGATGAGTATTACAAGGAGATAGAATTACCGTTAAGAACTGTTGTTCCATAGACCCCATCATGGGTTGGCCCAGGTCCTGAAAGAGCTTTGCTAGAAGATCAGATGTAATGGGCCTGTTGAGACACTTCCAGGTTCTTGCGAGCGCAGAAAACCCGGTTAGGACGTTCTCTTTATTGGACGTTGATGTTCACTAATCGGACCTGATTTTACTGACATCTCCCCCCCCCCCCCCCGCCAGCTCCTCGCCGGCCTG